TGCTGGCTGTTCTGAGCATTGGTTCGTTTTCCTAGTGTTCAGGCTGCATATTCGGACTGGCTTAAGTCACTCAGCCGTCATTTGACTGTCAGCGGGCGACAGAATTTGGTGGGATTCATCTTGTAGAATCTGTCCGGATCTAGAACCTCAAAATATCTCCCTCGCTTTGCCGGGTGTGGGTGGCCTAACCCAAAAATTCAGAGAAGGAAATATAGATGATTGACTCCCTGTGTTGCCACTTAACACAAGTAAGTCTGAACCCAAATTAAGCTATTGGTATTTATGAGTAGTTTAATTGTAGAAGGTAGGACCTAGCGGCCATTATGTGACCAGTGTGTGAAAATTACCTGACTAATTTTTTCACCCTGCCCTCTCTCGAGGTTGGTTGGCTTTTGACCTTCTGAAGTTGTACGACTTCTGCGAAATTCACTCATTCGTAGACAAATTCGGTTTCGCGCGAAACTTACCTGAAACCCAGCTGAATCGCTCTCGTTTGTGATGTTCCCAGGCAACTGAATGTGCTGTACCAGGCCGCCTCATGTTTCAGTCGCTACGATATTTGAAATATCGCGATACATGTATATTTGTAATGTACTACTCATAAGGTTGCTGAAAATCCATCGACAGCCCACGTTTCGGGGTAGGTTTCTAAGCCACTGCCCTATCGTAATGAATAAAACATAAGGCGGCCTGGTGCAGCACATTCAGTTGCCTGGAAATACCAAAACCGAGAGACTCAGCTGGGTTTCAGGTGGGTCTCTCGAAAAAAACAAATTTGTTTGCGAATCTGTGTACTTCGCTAACTTCATGCAATTTGGTTTCAAGTAGAACATAGGGTTGACGGAAACTCGGGGATTTCGCATACCTGATGAGCCCCAAGAAGGACAAAACCGGTCGTGGGCTGTCGACGAATTTCCAGCACCCTTATGAGGAATGCATTACGCATACCGTTGACGACATCTGTTTTCACGCTCCACAGTCAGCGAAAAGCAAGATGGGAGTCACAGACTGCAATGCAATACAATTTGTTGCCCGGGAATTTGAATAATCTTTATTCGTTGGGTGATAAATTCCATCATGATTCACTCGAAAAATTAACAACAGTAATGCTTTACTCAACAATCTAAAACAAAAGGGTTTAAAATAAGCGCAGCAAGCTTTCAGAACCACCATAAGCTATCGTATTTAAGACACATTGTCCAGCTTTCCTTTGTCTTAAACTTCTGGCCGAGATTTCCACAAAGTTCATAGGTCTATTCCTGAGTTTCATTTTGTTTCTTTTAAAAGAAGTCGCCAACTCACTTTCGAGTCCATGAAACTGAACAATCTCTTCGCTTGTATATTCCACGAGATCTCAAGCTTAACAGATCATCATCTGCGCAGCGCGGAACAGAACAGAAAACAGTTCTGTACATTCCACTCTTGTCCACCGATGGAAACCTCTAGCAATAGTGGGAAATTCGGTATCTGGAATTTACCTTCTTATAAGAGTGGCTCCCCAGTTGCACCTACTCATTCCTTAAACTGATATGACCTCCGAATCAAACAAAACTAGGTGCTCACCTTCATTTGGACTGACGTTCATTTGACTGACGTTCAAAACGCATCCAGAGTCCGGTATGAGGAACTACGACAAAATAAAGTATTGTAGCGCTTTTAGACGTCACCATCCTCTTATCTGGAACGGAGTTATGTGCAGCCTGGAATAAGCAGCCAAACAATACTACCGTTGTGACGGTGATACTACTGATGGGGAGGCATGCGAGTAGTATGTGTTGTTCGTGGAATTTCGCTTTGCGTCTTTTGAAAAGGGGAGATCTGTTGCGGAATTCGTGGAGTCACTTTGTAATTGTTGGTTGGATTCGAGAGAGAAATGATTGGAGTCAATGAAGAAGACGCGTTAAGGAGAAGATGAATGTCCAGTTTTTGTAAATAAGATGCACATTAGATTTTTGCTTCCCTGTCCAATGGTCTGTAACTGGTCACTTGGCATTTCCTTCACAGTTAGTAGTTTGTCTTGATGGACCACACAAGGAAGTGCAAAATTCAATATCCAAGTATAAAAGTTTTGTATAGCTAGGGCTGTTTGGAAGTGCCATTTTGGCATAAAAATCACCAACTTACAACTACAGTCCTTGTACTCCAATTGCAAATCCTGTATTCAGATATTCATCATTCACTGCCATGAGTGAATGAAACGGTGGGCTGCTTGGAAAGGAAAACAAAAGAATTCAAGCTTGTTACACCCACTGGGGCCATTTTCATTTTCTTGAAGGTATCAAATTGGACAGATAGCAGTCCTCATTTCTATCGGTTTAGACAAGCACTAGCTACCCAAATTCAGTAAGCCCAACACAGAGTTGGCGACTTCCCCCCGGGATTAGAATGGAAAACTGTCAATAAACGCTAAAAGAACTGTGAAATGCCATGAAAATATTTCTCTTTTATGTATAAAATCCACCTACTAGAAAAGATTGATTTTACCCAGACCGCTGAAATTGTTTTATGGTTGAAGCTGTCCAAGAATGGACCACACTTCTAAAGTAAACGGTTTACCCATTCACACGGAGTGGTCTCTGTGAATTGGACGACTGCCGCGCAATTACCTTTTTGAGTGCGACCACATGAGGGGAAAGTGATATCTTCTACAGCTTGCTCTCCACCTCAAAGTCATCTCCACCCTCTAAGTAAAACGCGAACACATATTAAACCATGGGTACACAACTTTCCCGGGAAATAGTGCTTTCGTGTCTGTAATAGTAGTAGTAGAAATAGTAGAAATGAATAAAAATACCTATCCCGCAAAACCCCAAAGCTGCAACCAAAAAGTTTCAAGCTACCTGACAGGGAAGTCCTGACTGGCGGTTCAATTGATCGTCACAACCAGGACAGTTACTGGGTCGTCGTTCGATGAGTCGGGCACCAACCAATCACATCGCTCAAGTGTGAACACGTTCGCCTGTTCAGACGTGATTGTTCAGATGCGTCCAACGTGCGTTGGTGGAGTAGTGGTTACACGCTCGCCTCGCATGTCAGATGTTCGGGGTTCAAACCCTGGCACGGCCATTGGATATGCACTGCTGATGAGCTCTAACAAGAGCAAAACTCGAGTCCAGTGCCTACCTTTGCTGTGGAGTCACCCGAATAGTTACGTCAGAACTGGAACACGGCCGTTCAAACGAGAGTGGTGTGGCTATGAACAAAAATGCCAATCCCGCAAAACCCAAAATTGTGACTAAAATACTCTTTTAGGACTGGTCTCCTAAAGGGGAGAGTGTATCATTCGGACACCCTTCAAAGAAGGTGGTAAAATCTTCACTACCGAGGGTCAGCGTATCCAGACTACTGGCGTTATAAAAGTTGAAAAGAAGTTGAACTTTTTTCGCAATAGTTGAATTTGGCTGAGCTAATCTCGTCGCACCTTGTTGCGAAATTAGGACTACTTTTTGGAGACAGCAGTGTAATATGTGCCCTTAAATATCACACGAAGTGCCGCAGTTTTGCAAGGTCCATCTCGTTTCGCAAGTCACACCCCCATTCGCAGAACACGGTAGACTTGACACTTCCTTTGGAGTTGTCTCTCTCTTGATCAACTATCCTCAGAAATCGTATCACCCAGGAATGACCGTTCTCGGTAGGACAACTGAGGCCTACCCCAGTGGTTGTGACAAAAGAAACTCCTTCACCGAAGCGGACACTCCTGCCCGTTAGATGCGTTCAGATCCGTGTCAGTGGAGTCAAACTTAGAGAACAAACATGCAAGGGTTTCGATTCAGAATTTAGAAAAATTCAGGAGTGACGCGTACCGCCAAGTTCACAGATAAACGGACCAATGGATTTGTGCCATGTTTCGTGCCATAAATGCTTAGGATCGACGAAGACATCCGCGACAGTCATCATGTAACTGTTATTCTTGAATGACACGTTAAATGTTCGGAAAATCAGCTCAGATTCTTTTCCTTCTTAAGTCGACAAAGGTCAGTAACTATAAAGCCAACGCTAAGAAACTAGATGGCACAGAAAGAATAGATGCCTCAGGTATTAAAGAAAGAAATAAAAACACATCAAGTTACTGATAGCTGATTTGACGATAAGAAAGACTGAGTTACATTCACACACTTTTGTGCAAAAAATGTGATTTTAGAATGCAACAATTGTTTAAAAATGTCCTGTACATCAAGAGTTTGTTGCCAAGATTCTGAAAAAGACCGAAATGCACCACTAGACACGTTTTTCCAAGAGGACAATGTCAAGAGTCCACTGAATAGGCTGTAGAACTAAATAAACACATGAAGGCTTGTCAGTAAATCATTGAGAAGCACGTGATCAATGTACCTGAAATCTAGAGTCACAGAATATGTGAAACCGAATGGCCCCTTGAAAAACACTGAAAGTGATGGGCAGCCTTGAGACATTCTGTTCATTCTAGGAGGCAAAGTGTATCCGTTCAGTGAGGTACTCATGCAGAATACTGGTGATGTCATTGTCGTTATCCAGATTGGAAGACGTTCCAGTAAGTGATCCCATTCGGGTCTCATAGGGGCTATTGCCTATTTGAGTGATTGGCTGGTGCACGCAATGAGGCCGAATTTGGTAGACCTGAGTCTCGGGAAAAACCTTTAATAGCTAATTCGAAGAATCGGAAAGTAACGCTAAAATGGAATATTGGTTCGGAATGACCCCGAGAAAAGTACAGGACCGGGAGCTAAATTCGGGACTGACCAGCCCTTATTCGGTCACAATTGATGGTTCATATTTACCGCAGTCGTAAACTTGCTTTCCAGAGTCGACTGGGTGAGAATTTCATGAGTCTAAAAACCAAACTAAGCAGCAAAAATATAAACAAACTTTTAAGTAGTCTGTAAAGTCTTCGCAGGGCCATGAAGCAACAATGAAAAAATGGGCTGACGAAAGTGAAGAAAAATAAATTTGTGGAAATGGCGTCAACAGGGTGCCGGATGTCCAATAGATTTTATGGGGGACCTGTACTGAAGATTTTCAGAGACTTTGTGGACTTTCAACAGCTCTATCTTGTATGCATGACAACACATTGGGCTAAATTTTGGCATTCACTGGATGATCACTTGTTGAACAATTTGATCTTTCTGAAAGTGTCAAGAAGACGAACCTGAGAGGTGGTTGAACTATCCAGCCGCAAAAGGAATACTGTCTGATATCATTGGCAGGATGGGAATTCTGTCGACGCTGAGGCAAACCTCATTCCTTAGAAATAAGTCCACTGAGCTGGCTTATCACTAAACGAGCGACATCCAGTGATTTTTCTAGTTGAGTCGAAGGCACAAAGCGATTTCAGACAAGTGCGAATAAAACACACAGATGAACCCGGAAACACGGCCACCTAAGCAAAGCTCATGTTTCAATAGGTGGAAATGAGATACCGGAAACGGCCACTTTTGCAGCTCCCATCAACGGTTACCTTGGATTAAACAGAATGATTGATCCATGATGACGATAGTCAGCATGATTTCATTCAGTTGCTTGCTTCTCCCCTGTGAATCTGTTGTTTTGACCCGAACTGCGTGTGCATGCAGGTGAACGTCCATCTCTAGCTACATAAATTTTTCTTCATTCCAGGTTCGGCGAGACAAAGTTGTGAAGGAGAAAGACTTGGTAGTGCAAGAAACCTCACATTCCGATATTATGCAACGACTAGTTCGTCGGTACTTGTTCAAAATGGAACGTGAGAATGACGCGGATGGTACGTTTCAAAGCAATATGTTGTCGGCTCTTCTTTTAACCCGATAAAACATTTGTCCTTATCCAGGTAGGGCCAAAGTGCGCAGTGGGCGAGATGGCTCAAGTGTTTAGAGCGCGAATTTACTGACCGGAAGGTCCATTGTTCGAAGTCTGCCTCTGCATCTCGACTTCCTTTGTCTAGGTTTGGGCAACCTGGCAATATCCCAGCCCTCGTGCTTCCTTCGGGTAGCATGGCAGCTAGGCACCGGGTCGGTGTTACAGCTGAACGATTCTTTTTAAACTGCGCAGCTATAATGTGTCTTCTCCGGTAACCCTTACCCAATAGTATTTGCGAAAAAGTTTGTATCCCAAAGGCATCAGAGACACATTAGTTGCTCCTTTCCGGCAGTGGAAGACGCATAAATCCCGAAAGCTAGACTGATCCGCTTGCCAAGCTGGAGTACCCTATATTCGGTGCACCCGCGCAACACTTGTCACATTATTTCAATGAGTGCTCAAAAATTAGGGAACGGGTGATTCTACGATAAAGTCTTTACCTGGAATCTCTTAGAAAAAAGGACAGGTGTAATTCAGCATGACTCCAATACTCGTCTCAGCTCAGTAGTGAAAGTAATCCGGGCATCTGAATAACCATATTCAAATTCCAATATGGCCTCAAGTGTGCAAAAATTTCCTTCATCAAAATGACATGAATTTTTTAAGGAGATTACGTTCCATAAATGGAGCTAGTCAATGCCGAGAAGCCTGGAAGAACTGCATAGCTTTTGCGTTCTGATTGGAAGTCATCAGCATTGAGCACCTCACGAAATCCTAGACCTCGATATCCCGTCTAGCAGTCTGATCAGTTACCCATACGGTCACGAATCAACCACGCTACTGATCAGCCACTGGAGACTCCCTCGAGTTTCGAGAGAGGCACAACACCGATACAGCCGTGCAGTGCTTCCCACTTTTCTAGAATAGACCACTTTTCCAGAATAGATCGCCTTCACTTACAGAACGATGCCAGGTGGTAAGTAAACAGTATTACTTGTAATCGGGTGCGGAACGAGTCCATATAGAACGAGTCACACCCACGTTGGGGGATCCTATAAGAATGCCACCTGAACGGTGGACGTTGCCTGGCTTGACAGGGTCATTGCAGAACCTTGGACAGAGCAGACAAATCCAGAAATGGATCTATCTACATCCAACTTTAATTTGTACTTACTCCGCTGAACCTGTGTGAATTTTTTTGTGAACTGCCTTTTTAATGCCCAGAATATTTAGTTTTCTGCTATTAGGAAAAGTCTCCTGGCCCACTGATGACAAATTTCATTTCGAAAACGGGTCTTGCATTTTTTTAAATATTGGAATGTAACCGTGAAACACATCGTTGTTACACAACCCAGACAGCGAACCTACTTTCATACAAAAATTAAATACACACCACCTGTCCGTGTGTTATTTTGTTGACTCCTGTCTCTGACTTAAATAGTTCCTCCAAACCCGGTTAATCCTTTATTCCATTAGAATTACTTAGCCCTAGCATGATTTATGTGATCGTTTATGCCATTTTACTGATATTGACTGTTCCAGTAGAAAACTTCGGGCTACAGTACTCCAGATTGATGTTTAGCACCTAAAACTCTCGGTAAATTAGGATTAAAAGTCAAATAAAGCATAACATTGCTTCCTGACCGATACCACTGTGAGTTCATCAGAATAGAACATACTGGAATCTCCAGGTTTGAGTTGATGTTTCTGACGACGCGTTTTTATTCGCCCATCATTAATTGATTGTTGGTCGATTCGGCGAGGTTGACAGTCGGATTGCAGATTGTGGACAGACCAACTGTCAAAAAGTACAATCGAGCAACTGGCCAGTGTTTTGAGTGCACACCAGGGAAGGTCTTGCCATCATTTTTTCACCAATAGGATGTTACCATTTCTGCTCCATACATCATATGAACTCATACGGTAGCTACGTAGTTTCCGTTTTACAAAATGCGGTAACGTTTAAACTGTTCCTTCGCCAATCCTGATTCATTAAGAGCCCCTCCTTGCATATCGTGAACTGCAGAATTTCATACCGCATTAACCATCCACCGTGTTCAATAATTGTGTGTAAAAATTATTCAATTATACTAAATGGACGATCGTAACTTTTGTATACTGACTTCACCATAGATTCGAAATGGGAATACTTAACAGAACAAATTTATATCCTTCATAATTTCGATGTAGAGGGGAAGAAAATGATTCGTCTTTTGGAACTGTAACGACATCTCTGAGGTGTTCCAGTGCGGGTTTCAGCGGAGGGAAGGTCTTCTTGCTGACTGGACTGGGCCACACCGTAGAGTATTCCAAGGGGGTGTGGACGATATTCCTCTCCAATTAGGATGATGTAGTCGGTCGAAAATAAGTAAGCATAATTGCCCATCACTAAGATCTCGTGTGACCCTGTACATTTCGATTCCATCAGTGAGTATAAGTGAGTGATGAGTTTGACCAGGCAAGACAACCACCGGTGAAGAGCAAGGTTTCCCCTCACGAATGCGACTCCTAAATAACGCGGAATCAGGTAATTACACTCACAGTGCGGGTATTTTGCCTCTGATCAATTGATGACCACTAATCAAACTCGAAAACACCTTCTCTAACAGTCAAACCAACAGCCCCTACCCTTACCGAATAAGACATGCAGAAATTCGAATACTTTCAGGTGGATTCTTACTCTGTTAACATTTCTGAGCATATCGCTCTTGATACTTTATTTGGTTTCTTAATTACTTTTTGAAATTTAGTTAGTGCATTCGGGCAACAGCATTTTTTCTTCAGATTTCCTCAGGCTATAATCTGTTAGATGACTGTCGTGAAATATATCCTCCCTCTTGTCTGCATGACTCAAAAAATGCATTTCCGTTTTATTCACTTATCGCCGAAAGAGGTTATCTATATATGATCGCCAGAAGCTGTACACAATAACGCCCGGTCGTAATCCATGAAGAGGATAGAATGTGATATGAATGTCGTATAAGGGTGGGAAGAAAAACAGAGCAGTTTTCCTATTTTGTTGATTGGAATGGCTCAGTGGTTAGAGCGCGAATTTACTGACCGGAAGATCCGTGTTTCGAACCCGACCTCTGCCTCTCGACATCCCCTCCCTAGATTTGGTCAAATTGACAGGATCTCAGCCCTAGTGTTTCCTTCGGGTGGCTTGGCAGCTGGACACTAAGAGGGTGCTACGGTTGAACGATTTCGTTACTTGGAATTCCTGAAACAATTTATGCAAAGTATACTGAGACGTCATGAAAACACAGTAGGTACAAATTCGGCCTCACGTTCAGATACACCTCGTCACTCGTCTTAAAGCGTGTTATGGTTAAAAGTTCGCCAACAGGTGCGCACTTATACAAAAACATGATTTTTCATCGACTGCGGTGCCCGCTTGAGACACACATTCAACGGAAAATGAACTAAAGTAATTTTACGCACATTCTTAAGAACAGAATCACAAAGAATAAGCTTCTGTCTCCCGAAACATGTAGTCAATGGAACAAAATACAACTTTATTCCCAAATTAGCTCAACAGTTCGATCTGACTGACGTTGTCCCTTATCAAGTAGTCAAACGGGAACAGAGAGTAGTATGCATATAGTCAATACATATTGCACCACAAATGACCCCGTTCAAAGTCACCGAAACTGTGTTCAGCTTGAGATGGGCGAAGCACCCAAGTGGTAATTCTTTCCAACCACTCTCAAACTCCTTTAACAACCTCCGCTTGCATACACAAAGCATCTGCGTATCGTTACGCACACCGCACAGAATCTTTCTTAAAATGTGCAGATTTTGTTGTCTATTGTGGCTAACTTCCCGAATCAATAGGATCGTTTCTATTTTCCAACGTTTTTATTTGATTTTATTATGCTATAAAGACTATCAGTAACTACAGTGAACCGGCGTTCGAATTTATCAGATTGCGAAGACATTCCTGTGCTCCAAGGGGTTAGACGAAGGGAGAAATAGTTCCGGAGCTACCGGAACATTTTCCATCTTCTTCATCCTCAGGCGCCTCAAGTGGATGCAAGAATTCCGGACAGAACCTACTGGATCAACTGGCATTCCACGATTATAAGGAATTAGTTAGGAATACTTTCAAAGTTCGACACGAAGTGATTCAGCCTGTAGTCAACATGAACAGCGTCGCTCACGGTTGTGAACTAATGCGCCGAACCAGTTGTTTCTTACTATTGGTTGGACGAACTTTTTAGCAATTCATAGACAATTCGAGCGAATTTTGAAGGAAAACCCGTGATTAAAGTAATTTCCGTCTATTAACTGTGTTAATCAATTCATCCAAATGTTCTCCTGAGCTACACTCATAAATCTGATGTACACTGAGTTGGCTTGTTTGACTGGACGATGAGTCACGAAACACTGCTGGGTTTCCGGAGTTGTTTCTGTATTGCATTAAGCACAAGTGCAGAAGGTGAAGCTCTCGGCGCAAAATTGGTCTGCAATATGTAGGCTGACAGTGGGAGTGCGTTGCGGTGGTAAACTTCAAAACCAAACGTTGTAGCAAATAATTCAACTGTCTGAATGCAACACGATCAATTCTTGGTCGGAAAGACACGTGAAAGTGTTAAGACAAAACAGGGATTCATCAATGTCAGGTTACTACCAAAAAATCACAACTCTCTGTCAAAGGAAGAGGAATTTCTGGTCCAAAGTTGCCAGACCACTGGAAACCTGCGCGTAGGAGAGTTTACGCTAGGTCGGGTATGATGTTGCAAGCAAGACCTTGACGCTTATGTAAATCCGAGGGAATACGACCAGTGGGCGAAAGTACAGGGGTCTGTCGAAAGCTATCATCTTGTCTAAACACGTCGATAGAACAGTGGTCACCCACAGCAGTTACCGGTCTATCGTCCGGGTACAGACATCCTCCGTAAATGCCTTCAAGATTTAGGGTACAGTCATGGAAGTGTTACCGAGAGCCATCCATTACCACCTCGTCAAAAACCCAGTGAATAATCTTACGGTATTTCACTAACCATACGGCTAATAGCTTCGTCACTTTCAGGAATGAACGAAGAAACTGTAAAATGGAAATAACTTGCCACAGACACAAGGACTGACATGTATCAAGCGAACCGATATGCATGCAGGTAAGCCATAAGGCATGTGAGTCTGCAGGGTTGGCCACTCCACCTTGTCTAGAAGGTATTGGAAATATTCGGTGTCCACCTGAAAGGCTTCGTTGTTTTGTAATGTCCACACAATCCGCCTCTCAGAGCTTTCCACATCTGTTTGGATAGCCGCCCTATAGTACTTCTGGTCCAGCGCCGGGTCTTCAGTGATCTAAAACAAAAGTCACACTCTTGCACTATTTTCTCCGCCCTTAACTTAACTTACTCTCCTACTGACCACAGACAAGTTGTCCTGGGATGCTAGTTTCGGACATTCGTTTCAAATGGTCAGACCCGCAAAGTTGGTTCGGACATTCGTTTCAAATGGTCAGACCCTCGGAGTTGTTCTCGCATAAAACTGCACTGCATTGTATTAATTTTTAGGTGTAAAAATGACTACCGTATTCGTGATTCGGTTTGTTCATTTGATCCGAGGGGTTTTGCGCGATTGACGTAGAGGATCCGAATAGGTTACCTGCAAATTCTCCAGGTAGCAATGAAGACATCACCACATCCGGATACACAGCAGCTTTGGTGCCAATGCACAACTGATGATTACTCCAGACGCATTTCTCAGGTCGACAAAACGCCTGGCGTAGTTTGTGAATCGAACGTTCTCTTCATTATCAAGTGCCAGTAACAAGGTTACGTTGCTCCGAGATGGCAGAAATCTGACCAGTATGCTATCTCACAATCGTTCGGCTGGACACTTGGCACTTCATGCCGAACTCCTCGTGTAAGGAGATAAAGGTAAATATTCATATTTGGGCTTAGAAGAGATTTCTCGTGGCCAAAAGCCTGATCAGTTATTTTGCCCATGCTCTTGTGTACAAAATGGGGCACAGTTGTCTACAAACGGCAGCATGTGGACAATGGACTGGCGCCGCAGTGTCTTACCGAATTGAACGAATGACAAACCGATCGGACAAGGAGGTGATGCCACCTTCGCACTGGCAAAACGTTCTTATGTGTGTGATTGTTATATAAAAGTTGAATAATTTTGGGGCTTCCGCTCACTATGATATCTTTTTTAAGTCATTCTATACAGTGCTCCGGTCTGAGTACGAGCTTCCGCTCCAAGATAACAGGATTTCATTAGCTCCACAAACACTTAAGGAGAGCAATTATTCCCTGATTTTTTTAGTCGAATTCCGCAAGCAGTTTACTAGGCGATGAATTCCGCGTTTATGCCGTATTTTCTTGCGGTGTAATTAGGCGTTTCTTAACACGGCCGATTGAAAATCATGAACTCTTAGTGTAGGCAGGTAGAGGTCAAGTGCTGTAGAAACATTCACCTATGGGCCAAAAGGAGATTGGTTTGTCGATTACGTAGTCACGTCCCATGACAGAATTGACAGTATGTGATGAGATGGTGGATGTAATTGTAGCATGCGGGATACCTGCTATTGTTGAATCCGCTGTTTAGGCATTTTAGAAATACATATTCCACAGGAATATGTACCGGCGTAGCAGTTGCCTATTATGAAACGCTTCGAAATGAGTAGATAACCATCTGAACGGTATAAAATCGATATAGCGCGTTCACATTGGTGAAACATTCCTGTGAAAGGGAATGTTAAATATAGGCTATGCATGTTTGCAATGAGAAGCGAGCTCAGCGTCATTAGAGTACCTTTAACTAAGCGGATGGTATGTGCACACAGAGCTTTCATCCCAACTTAAAATGCTCTGATGGGGTCTTCCCTCTAGAAAGAACAGAGTAAAAATGCACCCAAGTCCGTGTCCTCGAAGGTTAAGTGTGAAGATAGTATCACAATAACTCAAGGTCACACAAAAGAATTATCATACCGTGTAAATTGGTGGCCATCTACCACATCTAGAACCGGCCATTCAACCCCGCAAGTGGCCCAGAACATTGGGTGTTTGTGTCCGTTCCGGACCATTAAGAATTGAACCCTAGCCCAGCAGCTGCGCAGACAATCCAGAGGCGGAGATGTCAAACACCCAGTAAAGGAAGTTAGCAGAATTCCATCGGCTTTGTTACATTTGTTGCTGTTATTCTAGGGGCTGAATGTATTGCACGTTTCGTGCATACATTCCTTGCTGTCCGGTAAAGAATTCTTCTTGATAATAGCGATACAGTTAAACTGGAACAATTCACTACTTCTGGTTCTCCATAATGTATTTATTCCCTGAGGATATTGCACACGTCTGGTCTAGGTGTTTCTGATTTGCATTTGGGCCCCTGGATTTCTTAGATCTTTCAGTGTTTGGACGCATGTCAAGATGTCCTCTTGAATTGCGCTAGGTATCTGTAAGTCATATTCATCAGAACAATCGCGCTTGCCTTCCTGCTTCAGCCAACTTGAATCCACAACAAGTGCTCGGAGGGGCGCTCGCGTTCTGGCTTACCGGCCTGCGGAGTCTTGGTTGTATACAATGAGGTGTCGTTGTTCCATTATTGGGTGAACGCACGACGCGTCCCACATTGGAGCACATGCTTCTTATTGAGTGTTCGAATGGTGCACGCATCGTCATTAGCTTTGTGCCTTTGTCATTCATCAGTCCGATTGCAAATGGACCCAGTTTCTCCTCGCAGTTTCCCCATGTGTTACCTCCTTGGGAACCCAAATCGCCAAACAGAAAGTTAGAGGGGCTTTCAGGTGTATATCTGACCACATCTGACAACTGCTTGTAGACTTAGATCTTTTCTCCATCCGAGTGTGATACTGTGAATGCGTGCGTGTCAAAAAATGTGGCCAACCTTGCCCCGGAAAACCGGAATTGGATGGCACATTTCGGTTGATCTATCAGTACCTGATTCGTGTGTTCCACAACTGCTCAAACTCTACCGCACTACCGCCAATATTCTTGGGTCGTTCTGCTTTGGACAAGATACGACCTGAGCAATCCTCTTCTAGGCTTCTTAGATCAGTGAACGTAGGCCCGTCAAGTGGAGTAGAGTCTATCCCGCTCCACATTTTGAGTCGTACAAGACATCTTT